TCCAAGACTAATGACGAGGCAATCGGCTGCTAAAATATTCGCTGCTAGTATTAGTGGAGAGAAATGGTGCCCCTGCATGTAAGGTGCGTAAGGGAAATGAATGCAACACAATTATAATAATCAGTCATTAGCGAACCTTGTAGTTTGTTATTAATAATTATGTATAACAGGATATTGTAAAAATTAAGTTATGAAATTTTTATTAAAATGTTTTTTACATACCGTTATATTGGCTGGGCTGTGAGTTTGACATGCTTGCTGTAATCTAATCCCCACTTTGCTTTCTCCAACCTCCATGTAACCTTCCTTACATTCTCTCTTTAATTTCAGTACATGGAAGAAGACTCAAAACTGTTATTCTCTGGAGCATTTGAGATCTTGCTCCATGTCCTCAGTTTGGCTCAAATAAACTCTTTTAATGTTTCTTAAGTTGACACACAGACCAACCCTACTCAGTGCAGGAAGGGACTCATAGGACATAATTACCATGAGATGGGCCCATTGGGGATCCTCCTGGAGCCTGGCTACCACAGGCTCTGATAAGGAGAAAGGTTGGTAAGTTCAAGAAACATGAAGAAGCATAGTGTGATTACAGTGGAATTACGAGGGCGTGCAAAGGAAGGTCAGGGTCTGAGGGGGAACAGGAAGCCAAGTCATGTTAAACTTTATAGGACTTTATAGGTCAATTGTCGCTGAGTGAAAGGAAAGCCATTGGGAGGATAATTTATTGAATCACTAAATTCTGTTTGTTCTCCCAACATTTTCCCTTCCCCCCTCATCCATTTTCTGCCTCAGGGCTTATGTTGGGCTGAAAGTAGAAACAGCATAAGGCTAAGGAAGCCTGCTGATCTGGTAGAAACCTAATGTCTAGGGCTGATGTCAGAGGGGCTTCTGCTAGGTTTCCTTGAGGAGAAGAGGAGGAAATATTGATTGAAGAAGCCCCAGGCTGGGAAAAAATGTTCTCGGAGGCACTTTTGCAATCCTGGGCCCTGGCCTTGCTGCCGTGCGCACTGGGATAGCGTGGGAATGGCTTTGTAGGTACCTGGGAGGGGAGAATTGAAGCAGAAATGCCACAGGACATGAGTGCAGCTTGTGGGGTGAATGAATCAACAATAATTAGTGTGGCACCATGTCAGCCCAGGACTTTTGCATAGCTCTCCTTGAGAGCTAGGTCCCCAAAGTCATTGAAGTTGAATTTCTCACCAGTCTGGTAGGAGATAGGCTCATAATGATTAGCCAGTTTATTTAAAGGAATGTAGTATTCTGTGCTTTCCTTAGCAGCACATATGCACCAAATAAATAAATAAATTAAATAAATAAATAAATAGGAATAATAGAGATTAGCATGGCCCCTGAACAAGGATGACATGCAAATTCAAAAAGCATTCCATAAAAAAAAAAAGTACTATTCTTTGTCACCTCATCACCTCACTTTGTGCACTGATATTAATGCATAACATATAGCCAATGCGTTTTACCTAATTCCGTCACTGTTAATGTTTGGTGATTGAATGGGGGATAAAGTTCTTGGCTTACCTTTAAGCATATCACATTGGCACAGGAGTTTGAACCCAGCTAGATTCCCACACAGATAATCCACCTGCTTGTCTGCATTGTCATGAGATGCCTAGCCTGCTATTCTTACTTATAGCAGCGGAGTCTCTCTAGCTTGGGTTTCCAGCTGCAAGTACTGCAGATACTACCGGACTAAAGGGATCTGTTTGCCTACACACATCAAAGCCCAAGAAGAAACAAACAGGTGTTTGAAGCCAAGAAAGTAGGGATTTATTAAGGAGATGGCATTTCCTGTCGTCTCCGATGATCCCATGTGTTTGCACACTTCCTCTACCAACAATGTGCAATGCAAACCTGACAAGTGACTGGATCTCCTTTGAACTGTTGATCTCTTTCTTTACCCTCTCATATCTCTAGCCTTTAAGAGCTCCCAGGAGGACAAGGGAGCAGTAAAAGCAAGACGTCTGAAAAGCTGAGGAAAATGGCTCTGACTCCATTAAGTGCAGGCCAGCCACGCTGGAGCACGCGGCTTCTTTAGAAAATGTGTCAGGGAGAATTTGTCATGCATTCATTCCATCAATAAGTAGTAATTTCGTCCCTTCTATGCTTTACACCCAGATCTAGATCAGCGATTTTCAACCTTTTTCATCTCATGGCACACAGAAACTACTAAAATTTTGCAGCACACACAAATACATATTTTTTGCCAACCTGACCAAAAAATAGGTATAGTTTTGATTCATTCACACTGATACAGTTCCTCATGTTGTGGTGACCCCCAACCATAAAATTATTTTCGTTGCTACTTCATAACTGTAATTTTGCTACTGTTATGAATCGTAATGTAAATATCTGATATGCAGGATGTATTTTCATTGTTACAAATTGAACATAATTAAAGCATAGTGATTAATCACAAAAACAATATGTAATTATATATGTGTTTTCCGATGGTCTTAGGTGACCCCTGTGAAAGGGTCATTCGACCCCCAAAGGGGTCGCGACCCATAGGTTGAGAACCGCTGATCTAAGGGAAAAGAGGTCAGTGCCCCTCACTATATAGTCAGGTATTGCATGTTTTAAAAATTCTTGTGGCACATTCGTTGAAAATCACTAATCTAGATGCTGGGATGAAGCAGCAAACAAGACAGAAAAAGTTCCTGAGCTTATGAGGTTGATATTCTGCTGAAAAACAAACAAATAAATATACTGTACTTTTAGTTAGTGGTAAGTGCTATGAAAAAGTTTATAGTCAAGTAGGAGAATAAAAAGTGGTAAGAGTGCGTGTGTATATGGGGTGGTGAATGGTAGGCCCATTTACTGAGATGGTTAAAGGATGGGAGAGGAGGAGGTTTGGCACTCATTAAGTATTCATTAAATGATCCAGTGAATCAAATAATCAATGATGCTATAAACTTGGGGTGATGGGGATGATAAGTAGTTGACTTATTGGATATTAAGAGATGATTCTAGCCTTAGCCGATTTGGCTCACTGGATAGAGCGTCGGCCTGGGGACTGAAGAGTCCCGGGTTCGATTTCAGTCAAGGGCATGTACCTTGGTTGCAGGCACATCTCCAGTAGGGGGTGTGCATGAGGCAGCTGATCAATGCTTCTCTCTCATCGATGTTTCTAACTCTCTATCCCACTCCCTTCCTCTCTGTAAAAAATCAATAAAATATATTTTAAAAA